GTATTTGGTACTAATGTAATATTGATGCGATGTAATTGCACGAATCACCTTTTTGATTAAAAGTTAGTGAAAAGTGAGTGACGGACTGTCACGTGAAGCGTGGGAAATATTGAGATTGTCCGCGAAGATAATATTCATAAACGCATCTGATACAAATTTTCATCGATTCATTTGACATTTGCTAAATAGATGCATCGAAATCACGCGATATCTGCGCGAGCGAGTCCGACAGAATTGGTCTGAAAGCGGGTAGATTCGCGTCCCGATTTCAATAACGCATGGCCTTTTGACATTCTGACAAATGTCACGTGTTCACGGGAGAAAGTCATTTTACAAAGGGCTCATAAACTGAGCATGATAGCCAATAATATTGCATGCGATTAAGCTCTGTAAGTTAATACAATATGTCATTATGCAATTCTCGGGTGGTTTAAAGCTTACAAACAATTATACATGGCAGAAGCGAGAACAACGGCAAAATCGCAATCTCAAAACTGCGAGAAATTTTAGACGCGTATATTATACATTAGAAATGTTACACAAAAATAAAAGATAATTTTCACGTTATCATGCATATATTTATGCTAGTTATTAAAAATAAAACGATTATCGCACGTATATTCGCGAGAAGAGAGAAAGGTGTCCACTATTATGTATTTCTGCGAATCAATTTTAACAAAAGTATCAAACAATCGTCTCGTTACACGCATAAAAGGCAGGTCATTTTTTACCGCTCGGGGCGCATACCTACCAACGGACGCGCCGCGTGAAAAAGAAGGAATTATCAATTAAAGGTCGGTCTTTCTCACTTTGTAAAAAATGTCTTAATGTAATCTGCGTTCGCGTGTGGCCCGGGAACGACGAAACTGGTGGCCGCTGGGAAGCAATCAAGCGGGACGGAGGGAAAGAAACGAGGGCGGAGGAGACCGAAAGGGAGGAGACGGGGACATACAGGCGTAAACTTTTCGGAAAAAAATCCTCATTGATGGATAGTTTATCGCGTCCCGGTCCCGCCAATGATTTCTTCCCTAAATCCTACCTCCCCCGTCCTCCCCCTTCGTCCTCGGTCCACGCACGTATACATACACGCACGGCATCGTCTCTCTCCTCTTTTACTGCACGAGGGTGCCCCCTCCAAGCCCGCCTGGACAACAGAGCCTACCTAAATATCGGGGGATCATGCTAAACGGCGGCAGATCAAAGGGACCGACAGAATCCGGTGGCGAGCTATCATAATAATTAGGCTCGCTCGCGCCTCTTTGTATCGGGATAGAAAAGCCGACGTGGAAGGCCGAGAAGAAGAAGCAAAGATGCAGAAGAAGAGGAAGAAAAAGGGCCGCGGACAGACGGACGGACGGACGGACGGTCCGGTTGGTCGAACTGGCCGGGAAGAGCGGTCGGCACTCGGCACCGCTCCTTGCCCGCTAAATTGAACTTAAGGGGACTCTAAAAAGATTTTACTGATTTCGGTGAATGAGAGATTCGCGGATCCTCGCAATCGGGAGGTACGCGGCCCTGCCGCGGCCGCCGGGTTTCGCACCGGCTTGATTGATTCAATAAATGTTTCTCTACGATTCTTTAATTGCCGGAGCGGTATCGCGTGATGTCGTGTATTAGAATTAAATACAGGGTGTCCGTGAAACAAATAGGCACTTTGGGCGAGCGTGTTCTCTGATCCGCTTGGAGTTCATCTTTCGTAGCGATCGAGAGACGGGAGGCCAATTGTTTCGAGAGAGGCCGTGTTATAAGTGATTGACAACCAATATTATTATGCCTATCTCCGAGGAATAAAGTCTCATTTTTCATATATCTCTGAGTAAATTGTGCTTTAAACGACTTACAATTTGAAGCTCAATAATCATGCCTAATGTTAAAAATTAAGCGGTTATGAGTGAAAACATCTAATCAAGTATCCGATAGGAAAAAACGGCTCCAAATTGGTGAAAGAATATTCTGTCCTGTGCCATGAATCTATTTTGAATAGCCAATAAAGTGACAGCGGAATTATATGTATGTTCATATTGATAGAACTCAATTCAACAGAAAATTCATAATTGTTAATAAAATGTGAATAAAGACAAGGTCTAAAATACAGCTAAAAAATATATGAGAAAATTATTTAATATATCTTCTCCCGTTTTCCTCTTTGATACATCATATCCTTTCAATCATAGAGAACTGTTCTCCAGTATTAATTTATCAATATCAAAAACACTGTTACGAGAGTCGCATCAATCCTGCGCGACGTGATTGCCTCCGCGAGTACTGAGACAATTGCTCCTCATACACGTCGCGTTTGTGCGACATGTATTTTTCAGTTATGCTACTTATGCGAAATAACGACTATTAATCCGCGGCAATCTAGATAGGCAGGATGTCGGTGGGATTGGATTACACGTTGCATGCAGTCGCGCACAATTTAGTATCGCCGTGTACTGCTAAGCGCGGTAAATTGGTTGGCGCGCGATTTATTACAATTATCGGTGTTCACATTACAGACTCGCGAAATCCGCTTCTGTGAAATTTCGAAGGCACGAAAGCGACTCGTCGCTCGGTGAAAGCAAATTGTTTCTCGGGATTATATAAATTCACATTTGCATCACAAATCGGCAGGTAATATCGATTTACGACGTATAGAAATGACAGAGATACACACTACACGTATATACGTAAGTATGTAATGTAAGATGAATTTTCATGCGAACTTTTGCTACGTTTCTTTTATATAATATAATGGCAATTAACTTTCATCCGCAATTAATAAGTGAAAGTTCCCTTAATGTTATCCCACTAATAGAGTAGGAGGATCAACTTTGTATTTCAAATGGTATCAAATATTAATATAATAACGATTAATAGTGTTTCCTACAATTTGAAATAATAATCTGTGTATTTTTTCATAAAATTGGAATAATTAAATAACATACTTTACAATGTTTCCTTTATTGTCAGTGGAATCAAAGAGCTTGGTAAATATGTTCGAGAGACAACACAACGTGCACGTATAACGATCCGTCGGATGCGTCCGGCGGAGCGATTCTATCGGCTAAAAACCACGAACATATGGAAAGACAAAAATGACATGCGCCACAGAATTCAGCGGTCTTCGATTCTGTTCTCTTTAAATTGAGTCTGTTCAATGGAAACGTATACACGCTTGCTTTTTCTTTATTCTACAATTCGTACAAAAAATCATGGCGACATATAAGCTACAGTCTGGTTTGATTAAAATTTCTGTAATTTGCTCACAAATTTCAATATAAACTAACTCTAACTCTGCTAATAAAAGAAATACTCTTATTCGACAATATATAAATTCATAATTCAAAATATTAATTATTGAAATTAATTGTAATATTAGTAATCTAGATAAAGATAAAACCAAAATTATTATCATAATTTCACATGCAAGATAATTGATGTTCTAGCATTCTTCTTTCATGTAGATTTTGTAGGTGTATCTAACGTCTCGCGACATAGTCATTAAAAGAAATAATTAAGATAATTAATTAAAGAAGAATAGCATAGACTTTTTATTTACCTTTCGCGTGTAACAATTTTTAACCTTTGTAATTTAATGACATTTATAACGGAATGGTAAATCGAACGATGTTAGTTAGATATAGTTGTCGACAAGATTGCTGCAATTACACAGCTAAATCGATTCTTAAATCGGACTGTAGATAATGATCTGCATGTAATAGACGCCGATATTCTTTTAACGTTGTAATGAGCCAACAATCGTCCGTCACATTATCTACGGCAGCCATCATTCCATATCCTTTGCGTCAAATCGACCTATACTCGATCAGCCTATCTCTGATTCTCTAGAGATATTTGCCTTTGTTGAGTTAACGTTACAATCTATGAGAATCCGTTACAATTCCACGAGAAAGAATTTCTCTTTCGCTTTGTGTGCACGGTGTAAAAAAGACGATACTCTGATCTGCCAAATTTGAAAGTGGAATATACTTTTATTTATATAGTCTAATATGATTTACGTTTACAAGCTATATCTTACGCGCAAGGCAATAATTTTGTTACGTTGCAAACTGGCAGGTATAATTTACACGTCGACATTGTCGGGTTAATTTTGTTCTGCCTCGCAAATATATTTAAAAGGAAGACCAAAATATCTTTATCGTTATTTGTATCGTGCCGCGCGTACTTATATATTTTATGCTCAAATAACCGCGCGATAACACAGTAAAGTAGAAAGACGTGGATAATAATAGAGGAAGTAACTGACAAACGGCAAATTATAGAGATGTTACGCATAATGTATAATGCATAATACTACAGAAGACGTAGTCCTCGTCGGTTCCTCGTGCGGAATATATCGCGCGCGCTATCAGGCGTATTTGCGCGCCAGGCTGTTTCAAAGTCGTCCGTCCCCGCGTGATCGAGAGACGCGGCCGTTAACATCCCGCCCGATAATCCGTTCTCAAGACCCGCTCGCGGCGGAGGCCGAAATCCACGCTCCGGGTGGGACGAAATCACGGTGGGCCCTCGTTAGTCGCCCTTCGCGTCGTGGAGGGTCAGTCCCACGTCATTCTCAAGTGAGAGAACGCGCGTTTCGAAATGGAGAGAGAAAGAGGTAGATATAGAGAGGAGCGCGAGATAGGAGCTACTTCGGGGGGTAGGTAGAATAAAGAGAGTGAAAGAGAGGGAGAGGGAGGGGAGCAGAGGGGGCGAAAGGAAGGAAGGACGGTCGCGCCCGCCGCGACGCTGCGGGATGTTAAGTACGTCTCGTAAAAATTCCATCCCGTAGCGGCGGCGGCGGCGGCGGCGTCATTTTGCTGTACCGGCTACGTTGGGTTACCGTAGGCGGGATCCGATCTCGGCCGGCCCACGGATCCGCCAAAGGGGCGCGTTCTCGCGACGGAGGTGGTACCCGGTGCCGTGGCAGCGGCTTCGAAGCGTGCGGCTGGTTCCGAACGGCTCCACCGTTCTTCTACGCGTGCGCCGAGCCGGTCGTGAGGAAAGCGCCTGCCCAACGCCGGCGCCGGGGTATCCCCGTCCACCGTACCATTTCGCGTCACCGGCTTCGACTGGCTTGAGAGGAGGCACCCAGCTGCCTCCTTAGCACCGAAACTCGTTAAACGCCGACGTATTGACGTTTCGCGCGCGTATCTCGCTCGCAGCGGGTGTCTCAGCGACGCACGGCGTCAGGACGCGGTCTCTATCTCCGTGTGCTGGTGTTTCAGTGAGGATAGCGAACGGAGGAGGACTGACATCCGGTCGAGTTTCTGCACAAACAGGTTGCCGGGGACATTCCAGAGCGAAGAGGCGCTCCGCAGCTTGCTCGCCAGTAAACCCCGGTATCATGTTTTAGTGTTCAAACGGACGACGATGGTAGTGCGCTAGAATGAGAAGGAAGGACATGAGTCGACGTTTGACGGAATGACAATTGACGTCTCTTGTCCGCGCGAGCTGACACTTGACGGAAGCTACTAAATTTGAGAAAAATGTTTCGACGAGAAATAGAAGACGGATCCGTAAGCCAATGATGTGACTCATGTGTCGGTTCGAGCGCGATGACGGAGAATACGAGTGCGTTGACAGGTCATCGATAGCGATTAGTGCGACTGGTTTCGTGACTGTGGCTCGAGTCGGCGAGCTCCCTGCGAAGATTGTCGAGGACTCGAACATGTTAGGCCAGTGAATGAGACTTGATAAACCGTGTGGAGTTCCCGTGAACAGTTTTAGGACGTAAATGCGTTATCGGAAGAATGCGCGGTGCTTGAAGGGTTGAGTTGCCGTGGCCTCGCGACTGGCTGCCGAAAGCCACCAGGCGAGTGTCTCGAGCTTTCTAATTTAGCTCCTTCCTACATCCGCGCGGCATGTGCACCACGGAGATGACTGAATCGTACACGATGTCGCCGTCGACAACGGTATCTTCCAGCGCCGCGACGCCCGGCTGCGTGAGTGGCTCGTCGGCGCACCGACGGACGTCGTGCAGAGGCTCGCCGGGTCGAGGAGACGTTCAGGACGACGAGGACGAGATCTCCGTGGGCTGTCCCAGCCCGCTGCCGCTGGTAGTCGCGACGCCCAATACGGAGGATGAGTTAGCCTCCTCCAGGGAGGATTACGCCGACCGTCTGAGCCCCAGAAGAACTTATCCACGAGATTCGATGACGGAGGACGAGGACAGGGATTATTCCCGCAACGGGGAATACAGAATGTCCAATGGAAGAACTGGCAGCAGGACTCGCGAGAGCGGCGATTCGGTCACCACGCTCAGGGACGACGAGGAGGACGAGGACGAGGAGGATGAGGTGGACAGCAGGACCGGGAGCAACGGAGCGGCAGCCGCTGGTACCACGGATGACTACTTTAAGCCGCTGAAGCGCCTGAAAATGGTGCCGATGCAGCACTCGGACGAGGAAGATGAGAGGGAACGGGAATCCAATGACCGTGGAGTCAAGTCTTTCAGTATCCTCGATATCCTGTCGCATCGGCCGAAGGCGAAGATCGTCCGTCCCTGGGATACGGCGGACTCCGGCCTCAGCCATCAGCACCGTCATCACCTGCAGCAGCAGCATCATCACCAGCACCATCTGCACCACCACCATCACCACAGTAGTCACCCGAGTCACGCGACCGGGCCCCGGGATCTATCGCTGATGGGAATGTCACTCGCGTCCATGTCCGGTTCCATCAGCGAGCCGCCCCTCAGCAGCTCCTCGTCGTCCGGAAGGAGCTCCGTGTCGGATTCCGGTAGCCCGGACCCGCTCGCCCATCATCACCATCATCACGCCGCGCTTCATCACGCGGGCATTCATCCCGGCTTGCATCATCCGGCGCTCCAGCAGCCGCAGCAGCAGCAGCTCAAGAGGAAAATGCCGCAGCAGCACGGCTCCCACGCTGGCCAAAACGGCAAGAGAACCACAGGGCAGGGCAGTCCCTTGGACGCACTCTTCCAAATGACCAGCAAGACCTTTGACGCGGGCGAGCACAGTCAGGGTAAGCACTCGCAGACTTTCACATTCCTCAGACTTCTGCTTGTGACTGGATTTGCAATATGTCCCGAGAATACGTCTCTTATCAATTATAGGGGTGGTTTCGGGGGAAATTGTGTGAAACTGACTATGATTCTTGAGATATGAATACATCTTTGCCTAGAAACGAATTTTGTTTATCTTATATTCTAACGAAATTTCTCTCTAACGTGTTTTATATACATATATGATTTGTTTAATTATGAATAAGCAGGTTCATAAAATCAACTGCTATTTAGCTGAATACTTAAATTGGATTTTATCTTGTTTTTTGTACTGCACGCACTTCTATTATAACGTAGCAATAAATAATTCGAAATAAAAGAGAAATATTAGAATACTCTAATTCTTATCTTCGTATCTTATTCGTTAGGAAAAATAATTGGTTAATGATTTATTGATAGTAAGAAATGTGAAATTGTTCGAAAATTGATTATCCTATCAGGTGTGATTAGAATAAATGAGAAAAATTAGTTCTTTAATGATACTTATTTATCTCAATCGTTGAACTTCCATTAAGTAATTCCCGCTCAGGAAAATAGTGTTTTTAATACGGCACATATACATGTCGGGCATTCTATATATTTATAGTGTTTTTATGCAGTATAAGTGTTTTACTTCGCGTGATACAAGGCATTCGCGATTCAAGCCAAGCGACGGCAACATCATTCAACTAAAAACAGTTTTAGGCGAACGAAGAAAAACAGTTTTGAGCGAATAATCGTCGTTTTTTCGTCTTCGCTTTTAATTGAGACATGTAATTTGAATGTTTATGGCGATTCATAAAACACCAATGTCTAGCCGCAATATAAATAGTTATGTGCAAAAAATGCAAATCGCTCGACGATGAGTTTCGAAATTCGGCCATGCAATTTTAAGATTGCCCAAATATCGTTACGTCGCGTTTACATCCTGAAAAATCGCAGAATCGCTCATAATCGGTGAGTTTAAGTGTCGGCGATGAATACGGGTTTTAATTTTTGATTAATGCATCTCGTGAGAGTCAGGAAGCGTTAGCCGCGTTTAATTCTTTCCAAAACGGCGCTTTACTTCACTCCTTTACAACCCCGTAACCTAACGTACGGAACGTTTCAAACTTCATGGTGCGTTAGGTGGCAGGTGCCAAAAATACGAGTCAGCAAACGCTATAATCCGAGCTCGCGCGAACATTTAGGATCTGCAACCTTTCCGGACCTCTATGTCGCATCACTTGACCTGTATGACGAGTCACTTACGAGCAATACTCGATGTATAATACCGATGTATAATACGTTTCAATAAACTCGTAATCGATGAATATTAACACAGTTTCAGACGTAAGTAAGCAAAAAAAGCTGCAAAGAACATATGAATGCACAGTCGAAAGAAAAACACGATGAAGAAAACGTGACTTCTCTGATATTAAATGCAATTTAATATGATTAAACGTAAGTTGTAAATTGTTGTAATTTGTAGTGACATATATGACGATACAAATTACTTCCGATATTACGTCTAACATAGTATCGTATGTATCAATATATCGACTTTGAAATTGTTTTACTCTTTTAATTGTTATAGCTTTTAAAGTCCTCGGATATTTTAGTATTTTTAAAACTTACATTCCTTAAATTAGTTATTCAATTAGGCAAATTGTGCTCAGTTATCTAACTATGGCTTAATTGGTTATTATTAATGCATGTTAAATTAACGTGCCGATAACGATTAACATTAACAAAAAATAAATAATGAAAAATTATCCATGTTTTAAGAGATTATTCTCGCATTATTCAATCATTATAATGTTCCAATGATAATGACAAATACACTGTTAAATATTAAAGGTAATATTTAAACCAATACCTTGTGTTAAATAACATTCTGTTATTTTTGCTATCATGTGTGTCAACATTTATTATTTTGACACAAAACAGTATTATTTTAACTTCATTGGTTTAGTTAAATTAACAATAAATTGAATAGGAGCAGTGGCAACCTATAAGAATGGTTTAAAATGACACAAATTAAGTATAATTCGACACTACTTGAAGTGTATATGTAGGGTATGTTTAACAATGTATCTCTCTTCCGCTGTCTTCTTCGAATTTTCGCATGACGGAAATGTGCCGGGTGATAAGTGTCGGTCGAGATCACGGTTAAAGACCCGAATCGACGTGTTATGACGATCTTTAACTTTCTATTGATTCCTCGCTCGTGGATCACGCATCTGCGATGTCCCGAAGCGACATGTGAGAGATTACCACGGGGCGAACAGCCGTTTCTTCCGTTCTGCTCGGGAATTGCGGCGCGTGACACACCTTCATAACGTCAATAATAATAATGGCTTGTGCGGAGCGACGACCGGAAATATTTTGTAATTACCCGCGATATTTTTCGCATCACTCTCGCTAAACGAGTTGTAACGACGAGTCGACGAGTTGTTTCATTACGTCCTACGTTCGATAATCTGCAAAGCCATTAGAATTATTTGCGGAAAACTCACAAATATGAACATCAATCTCGTATAATTTATAGTATTATTTGTGCACAAGAACGCAAATAACTTGTTGTCGACATTCCAGTTAGAGTTTTATTAATAGTAAAATGACAGACTTTATATATTCCATTTGAAATGTTACTTAGTTATTTTACTATTGTGTGTCAGAGAATGTTAATTTTAAATATTGTGTGTGCATTGAAATAGTCTCCACTGGCAAGCCTACATAACATTTGTTGTAGAGTTAAGAGCAGGATTGTTCAACGGAGATTTTCTATATAATTTTTATATCAGAATTAAAAGAACGTCAAAACTCATTCGAGTGTTAAGATCACGGGCAAAAGGAAATTAATGCACGATCCGAGAGGTGACGCGAAATCATTTGGCGTTTAACGCGAGTGCCGCGTATTGCGTTAATCGCTTTCCAGAAGCGTGTTTCCGCGAATGGTACTAATATTAGCGGCGGTCGTTACGGGCTATGCGCTCTAGATGTGCTGTAATTAAATGACGAGATTTTTTTGTACCTTAGCGCGCGCACGGCGTACGGCGACACGTCGCGTTTCAGGTCGCGCGCTTATTTCTCCCGGACGATATTATTATTAGGCATACTCGCGCGCGACGTCGATGTCGGAAAGTATTAGCTCGCGAAGGAGGGTGCCACGAAGTTACCGCAACGATTGATGGCGTACGAGGGACAAGTGCGCGATTACGCGATCATCCTAATGGATATAAGTACAATCGGTCAGTCGTGTGCCGAAGACCGTGTGCATTTATCATTACGCGAATATCGATCGACACCCATTCGATCTCGGGATATCGAATATTTTATCATGGAATACTGTATTTGATGTTCGAAGAATTTGCAGCGTTCAATTTGACATCTAGATAACGTTGAGCTGATTTTTCAAAGTGACATTTTTCACTCGTAGGATAGAAAAATTACTCGTTCAGATAAATTGCTAGTTGTTATACAAAAACGGAGGAAATATTCATGATACATTGCATTGTATTAACAGATAAACGTACTAATTTTTATTGTATTACAATTTATCTATTTTTGGCGTCGTTGCTCATCTCAAATGATTTACGTTTACATAATTCAAATTAAAATTAGTCGAATTCCACATGTTTTTTACTTCTATCTCTCCGCGCTGCCCCTCCAATATTAAGCAAGTTTTCTCATTTTGTGTATGGTCACGTAAATGTGACAGGCCAACGCAACAGAAAAAGCGATAAACAATGCAGGGATCAGACTAATAAATTTTTACACTTCTAGTTATCGCGCTACCCTTCAAAAATGTGGAAATTTACAAGACAGTCCGTCTCGTTTTCGACCTATTAAAAATACGTTATCCTATTTTCTATACAAATACTTTAGCTCACGCACGTTTCTGTCGGCGCCAAAAAGTTTTTTCTTCAAGGGTTTTTTGTCGAACCTATGACGGATCACAATTGATGATCACGAGAATGGTCCTTGGAAGTACCACTTACCTTACTTTTGTCGATATGCAAAGGGATGTGTATATATCTCTGTACCTTGCTCTGTTAACACATAAACTTCTAATTTTATGATGATTATTATGGAGTTCGTCTCCGGTTCAGTGATCTTAATCCCGGAGACACTATGGCGAATCCGATTCTTGCGACAAAGTGGTCCTGCGTTACAAGAAACGAAAGGGTTTTACGAGCCTTTCCGAGGACGAGTCGAAAAAAGTGCCGACATCAGCGATGAGTTACATCTTCACCTTACGACCGGCGTGCAACCAGATTTCTGCCCCGGCTAGATCTTTGTCCAGATTTCTCTTTCCGGCGCGGCGCTCAGGTAATTGGATTAAAGAGAACGTATCGGTAATCGGGAGAGACGAAGATCGATTCGTGTTTGTACACGTGTGCGCGGGATATGCTTCCCCTAATTATCACCAGAAAATCCAACCTCTCCAAAAGGGTTACGTTTATATTGACTGTCAAAATAAATACGGTTCGCACTTCGGCAAACGTGTCGGAAACGTATCCAAGTCGGAAACCGAATATAAAGGGAAACAAAAGGGATTTCGTGTTACCGTTGTATATATTTATGTCTAAGAAAAATGTTGAAATTATTTGACAATCGCAGACTCATAGATTGTCTTATTTTTGAAGGCGGTTTTTCTTAAGGATAGAAAAAGTCCCGATAAAACTACTCACACTACACACACATAATTAAATCGCGCGTCAGATACGCTATACAAATGAGACAAAGAAATGAATGAATGTTCGTGTTATCACGTGCGCTGGGTTCTTCTCCTTTTTGAAGTGGCGTACCGTGATTTCGTGCACACGAGAGACGAGATCGATGGTGAGTTATCTCTTTAAAACATGACGAAAGGACAATTCGCCATCGCGCGCGAGCGCGAGCGATCTCGTTCGGGATGTCCCCGATAAAAAGCACGTATTATCCCGTAAGACGGGCAGACACGGATCGTCGTGCACACGTACGCGTCCATGACACG